TCTGATTGGCTATTCACGCAATCTTTCGAAACAGGTGTTATCCATAAATTTAGGCAGACTGTGTGACGAAAGCGTGAAGCTGGAAGTTCTTTAAGAGGCGAAAGTGATGATGAAGGTGCTCGAGAAAAAAAAAAGGGAGGGGGGAGATTCTGAAAATATTTGCCAAAACTAGAGCAATTCCAACCTGGAAGGCCACAACCCTTCCGACGCCAATAGGAACGAGATGCCTGGAAAGTGCATTTTCAATAAACTGTGGCTTCATCAAGCTGACTACAAAGACTGGATATTGATGGATGGCAATCCTTAAATAAATGTGGTCTTTGTCTGAAACAAATTGAAATTTCTAGAATGGGAGAGTCAGCACTGAAAATTCACATTAAAATTAAGTTTCGTTTTATCATTTCAATTTGTTTTTACACGGTTTTGCTTAGCTTAATTTCTGTGTTTGTTTCAATTAAGCCATAAATTAATTTTTTATCACCTTCTACGGAGTTTATTCTCTTTTGCACATACTATATGTATGGGATATCGGGATTATGAGTTTATTTCTGCAGAGGGTCTGTTATCGATTTCGCGGGAAATCTGTTGGCTCCATTTCGATTTTAGGTCGCCAAGGGCAAATTCGGTAACGCTAGCTGAGAAAAAGTGAAGTTCGGAAATACGTTTTGAAGCTTCAATAGACAATTAAGTATTTGGTTTAAACCTATGTTTTGTTGATAGTAATGCATAATTTTTGTAATGCATAATTTTTGCTAATGGCGATACAATTATTAGTTGAAAATAACTAATTAAAATTTTTTAAATATTTTTAAAGCTGAAAACAACTAATTGAAACTAATTTTCCTGAATTAACTAGACGCAAAATTAACTTTCATGAATTACTAAAGTTATTGGGTAGAAGTTTAACTGAAAATATACATTCCGTATTATATATATATATATTTATACAGTGTACAAAGTCCGAGGTCTGGACTCGTCGGGACTTCGGCGATCCTAGATTTGAGATTTTTCCGGATATTAGATCATTTTAAATCTACTAAGATGGCACGTAGAAATTATAAAATTGAAAATATGAAATCGTGATTTATGAAATAATGAAGCATTTATGATTTAAAGGGTATCAAAATTTACCAAAGAAAAGAGCTTAATATTTATATGTTTACTTTAATAAACATTTCTTTCAATGTGAGTTGTTTGATTTGTTTTCTCTCTGCTAATACTTTAGACTAATACTATAGACATATAATTTCTTGTTCAGTTATTAAGTTCCATTGTTCAAGTCCTGTAATTGCTGTGTCGAGAATTCCGAATAACTTGTCAATCAAAATTTTTTCTCGTTCAGTAACCTCTCTGTTACTTTCTTCACTATCGGTAGCTGTATTTTCTGGATTTAGAACCATACTACAGATTCCGCCCTCCGTTAATTGATTGATGATTGGGCATTGTCATTGCAATGAAAAACTTCTGTTTAACTTCGCTAAATTCTGCCGCCTGGTGCGGCCATGCGAGCTCTGGAGCTGGTTCTGGCTTTATGTGAATAACAAATCAGTTATTCTTAATTCAAATAGCACTAAATATAATCGTTTGTCCTATGAGTATCATTAACAAAATCTATTTTTAGCATAAGGAAAGAAATTTCTGCTAAATCTCCCCTTGTCAACATTTTAGCGCATTAAATTTAAATCTGTAATCGTATAATACTCTGTTATTTGGCATCGCTGCATGATTCATCACTCAAGTTGTCATTCGTTGATAAACATGCGGTGATGAAAGCAAAATACAATAAATAATGATTCGCGATTTCGGCATCAAGGATATAAAATATTAGTTGGTGTAAAATTAACAAATGTTTCGGTTTGAGATTATGCCAAGCAGATACGCAGCTATGGAGTCAAGTTACTAATCACACAAATTTATGCTAAAATAATTATTTCTTCAATAATGAGATATTTTATTTAGCACCAAACTGAAGATTAAGAATCGGGATTTCTGGCATGTTTTTTTATATGATGAGGAAAAAAATCTAATGCGCATGCGTAAAGCATACCCCTTCCCTCCAAAAAAGCCCTAAAAAATTGGTTGGTGGTGGCTTTGAGGTCCGGATTTTAGATCATTCCAGATATTGGATGTCCGGATCTCGGACTTTGTACTGTATATATATATACGTATATTTTCAGTATACATTTCTTATCGGCCTTGCATGTAATGCCCCTTTTAGCTGCAAAACATCTTTCCCTTCTCAACTGCAGAGTTTCTTCTAACAGTATCATGAATTTTGTCAAGTTAGAAGAACCATCTACTTCAGGAAAAGATGTAACTGCTAATTCAACATCAATAAGTGTAGAAAATAATAAAATAAATTCTTTTCTTTTCAAATCTGAAGTTACAGATGCAGAAATATTGTGGGCTTTTAAGTGCATCAAAAGCCACTATTCTTTTAAATCGTGCGATGATATTGGGCCGTTATTCACTAAAATGTTCCCGGATAGTTCCATTGCAAAATAGTTTTCATGTGGTGAAAAGAAATGTGCTTATATCTGTTATTTTGGTCTTGGCCCTTATTTTAAAACTTTGTTACTAAAGCATTGTAAAAATGCTGAGTTTTTTACATTACTATTTGATGAGACTCTTAATCTGACAAATCAAAAGAAGCAACTAGATATTTATGTGAGGTACTGGCATCACGAAAATAAGGTCAGAACTCAGTACCTTACTTCTGCATTTATAGGGCATGCAACAAGTGAAATTATTTTATCCAAATTTTATGAATGTGTTGAAAAACTAGACTTGTCAAAACTCTTACAAATATCGATGGATGGTCCTGCAGTAAACTGGAAATTTTATGATTTATTGCAACAGGACTTGACAAAGGAATATAACATTCAATGCTTGACATTAGGGACATGTGGTTTACACATTCTTAACAATGCTTTCAAGCATAGGATGTCATCCACTGGCTGGGACATTCCATCATTCTTATCCTCCTTATATTGGATTTTTAAAGATTCTCCTGCAAGACGTGAAGATTTTTTAAGTATATCTGGCTTAAAAAAGCTACCTGTGAAGTTCTGCTTTTACCGATGGTTGCAAAATGTCCCAGCAGTTGAAAGAGCCATTGAAATATGGGATGACTTGCTACTGTACATTAAAGAAGTTGAAATGGGGAAGTTTAAAAAAAATTCATCGAAATCCTTCTCAAATATTTTGGAGGCAACTAAAGATAAAACATTTCTTATAAAATTAAATTTTTTTCTCTCTCTGTCGAAAATATTATTGCCTTTCCTTGAATATTATCAAAGTGATAAACCACTTATTCCCTTTTTTGCTGAAGATATCTTAAAACTTGTAAATGATTGCCTTCAGCACTTTAAAATTTTGAAACTAGAATATTCAAAAAAATAACTAAAGCAGAAAATCTTTATAAATTTAATTTTAATGATCCAAATTGTTATAATGATAAAAGTAAAGTTTATTTGGGATTCATTGCTGAGCAGTTAATGAATGATAAATGCCGCAAGAAGGACATTTCACAAGCTGAAAGTTTTGCATTGAAACAAGAAGGTCAACAATGTGTCTTAACAATAGTACAACACTTAATGTCTAAATGTCCAATAAATTATTCTCTTATTTATTCGAAATGCATCTTGTATAGACCCGCGATTGATGGTTAAAGTCCAAAAAGTCCAGAACAAAATGAAAATAGTTCTAACGGTATTAATGCGAAATAAACGTGTTTTACAAGATGATTGTGATGAAATTCTGCTGCAGTTTGGAGAGTTTCTAGACAAAGTAGTTAAGACAAATTTACATACATGAATTTTCTACTTTTGATCCTCAAAATCTTTCTCTTGACACATTTCTCACTTCTTATTTTCATGATTTTCACTATTCAAAAGTATGGAAAATAGTGAAAATGATTCTTATCTTATCTTGTCACATGGACAGGCCTCTGTGGAAAGGGGCTTCTCTGTAAATAAAGCAATTGAAATTGAAAATTGAAATTTAAGTGACTCATCATACATTTTTCAACGCACAGTATTTGATTACATAAAATTTTCTGGAGGTGTTCTTAATATCGAAATCAATAAAGAAATGAGATCAGCAGCAGCTTCTGCAAGGTCTAAATATATGCAGTATTTAGAAGAACAAAAATCTTTAACTACATTTGAAAATTCAAAGAGGAAAAGAAATATTATTGAGGAAGAAATTGATTATATGAAGCAGAAGAAAAAAATTCTTCAAAGGGACATTAAAGATATTAATGAAGAAGTAGATGCTTTAGCAGAAGATGAAGCTGAGACCAGCATGAACATTGATTTGTTTATCAAAGCAAATGAACTTAGAAGAATAGTTAAAGAAAAGGAAATAGACATAAATAAATTAGATGTTAAAATAGCTGAAAAGATTTCAGATTTAAAAAAAGCACAAATGTTTTGTATCTTTTATTGTACAGTTTATTATTCTAGTATCTATCAAAAAACCAAGGAAATAAATTGTATGTTTACAAATCAGTTTTTTTTAATCTGCAAAATATTCTTACATTGTGATTATAATAGTAGTTGACTGTGTTTAAATAAATATCAAATAAGTTAAATAATAGTCATGTAAATCTCTAAAATAGTGACTGTTATTAGTGTAAAATACACTTATACATGTTTTTCAAGAAATTATGTTCCTAATTTAATGTTATCTACTTCATAACTTGTAGGGAGTTAGTTTAATTTTCAAAATTGTTTTATGGTAAGTATTAAATTGAATTTAATAATAGTGCATAATACACACTTCTGTTAGTTTCTTAAAGTGAAATTACAAGCATGAAGTCGGTTGTATGGATAATTGCTTTATTCTATTTGTTTTTTGTTTGCTGATAGGTCCTTAATTTTTTCTTTGATGGTCCTTAAAAGTCCTTAATTTTCATGTAAGGAAATGTGTACGAACCCTGTTTTTTTAATGAGAGGTGCATTCAGTAAACTATTCTTTGTATATTTTCTTTATTACAGGTGACACTGAAGTTCAGTTTAGTAAACCTGAAAATGCTAAGCCACTGGAAAATGATAAAAATGCCACTACACTAATATTGGAGGAAATTGAAGATCATGTTAGCAAACTGAAAGAAACTGTTTCTATTAATAGAGATTTACTAACTTCAGGAAACATCTCCATAAATGGAAGTGCTAATGAAGGTATAACAGGCATTAATGCAGGTCAAAATGGTTCTTCTAATGCTTCTTCAGAAGCAAAAAACAAAGTAAAAGTGGAATGTGCTCCAAGAACTCTCTCGGAAAATGAGGTATATAATTTGTGAAAACAATTTTTGGGATCTAAGTTTATGAAGTGAACATAATCTCGAAAAAAGGAAATAGTACTTCATATGCATTATAGTGTTAAAAATTATGTGTTTTGAAACTATATAAATATTTGAGCAGTTTAGTTTGGTGACTCAAAAATCATCACCAAACTAATTATACTAATTATTAATTAAAAGTTACCAGTGAGGATTTACATATAAGCCACACAAGCTATAGTTTAGGCCCCCCACTTTCTTGGGGGCCTCCAAAAAATTAAAATTAGTATTAAAATATAGTTTAACAGACTAATAAAGGGCCCCATATCTCAAATAGCTTAGGGTCTTATCAAATCTGGCCCTGAGAGTTACTATTAGTAATGCATATCACAATTGCTTTCATTAATTCTACAGATATTTAAAATTAGTGTAAAGTGTGGCTTTTCAGCTGAGAAAAATTTCTTTTTTTTTTTTTTTTTTTTTTTTTTTTTTTGTTTTGTTTTGTTTGAAATCAGTGTTAAAATAATGTTGAAGAATTTTTCTTAGTGTTTTAATTAATGTTGAATTTAATGTATATCTTTTAATGTATACAAATATGCCTAGAATATATTTTTTATTTATATCTGTAATGTTTCACAGAAAAGACAGACATACTTTTTTTTTTTTTTCGGTATTTAATCTTGTTTTCTGTTTTGAATGTTTATATGAGAAGATTTAAATCATTAAAATGTCAAAGGAGAGTAAATAACATGTTGCAGAAGTATTATGAAGTAGTGAATGTTATATATACATAATTAAAATTTTTCATGATGCATAAGTATTCTATCCTCCTTATTGATTCACTATGCATTTACAAGTTATCTGTAGTGCATTATTTATATATGATTTTTTGGTACTCTTCTGTTATCAGAATCAGATTCAGAAATCTGTGTGTGTATGTATGTTTGTATATATGTGGCACACACATATATATGCACACATATATATGTATATGCTTATATGCATGCATACATGGACACATCCATCCATACACACATGCATACATACATTTCTAAACATGGCCCTGGTAATTTTTTTTTTTTTTTTTTTTTTTTTTTGTGTGTGTGTGTGTGTGTTTAAGCCATACAAGAGAGTTAAAAAAAAAAAAAAACCTTTTCTTTAACCATTTTAAATTTTACGGTAAATTTCATATACATTAAAAGGAATTAACTCTGATAATTAGGATATAATAACATGCCCAACAAGTATTAATTTAGAAGTCAAACAACAAAAATCAGCATTATATTTTCAAATTTTCATGGGACTAGTTTCGACAGTGTTGCGCTTTTGCAGCCGAGGATGATATTTCGGTAAAACCATCGAAACTTGTCCTGTGAAAATTTGAAAATATAATGCTGATTTTTGTTGTTTGACTTCTAAATTAATAACTCTGATACTTCAAAATGCAGCTTTACTTGTATTGATTATAGTTTCAGAAAAGAAGTATTGAATCTTGATAGTTATGTAAACTATTTCTCTAATATAAACATTCCAGTTACTGTAGTGATAAATGTTGTTATGATATGATTAGAGATGCTTTTGTGGAAAATCTCGTAAATTTCTTATAATTATTTACAGGTTCCTACAGTCATCTTAGCTAATAGCAGTACACTTCTGAAAGCACTGACACCAGCCACTACTAATACATCAGCAGGAGAATGTGTAGCTGTTTTATTTTACTCAGCTCAGTGTATTTTCTCTGCACGAATGGCTCCTCATTTTAATGCTCTCCCACGTGTGTTTCCTGATATCCAGTTTTATGCTGTTGATGCCATGGAGCATGGCAAGTAGGTATTTCTAAATTATCGTTTGTGAGTTAAATTGTTATAAATGATAGTAATCAGTTTTTTTTTAGGTTAGGCATTTTAGTAGTTAAATATATTTAGTACTGTTACAAAAAACACTGTTTGCTGTAAACAACACATCTCCCATCTCCTAACAAATATAAAAATTTGTGTTTGAAAATTATTAGCCAAATTTTTGTGATATCATTTTTGTTCAGGAAATATTAACTTTCACATGTCTTTAAATATTATAGTGAACAAATGCTTTTTATTAAAATATTTTTTTAAAAATTGCTCACAATTTTATTGAAATGGTAAACGATTAAAACCTTCTGTACATTTTGTTACAATTTAAATATCGTGCAGATTAATTAAGGTTTTGAACTGGCTAGTCAATTATGTCATAAAAACTGTGATAAAGATCAAAAACTAACATTTGAGACTTTTGCAGGATCAAGAAATTGTTTTGTTTCTTTTACTATTTCTGTTCAAAGTAAAGATTAAAAAGGATCAAATGGCCTATATGTGAGATGCATATGTTAGCAACTCTACAATCACACCATGAAGTGTTTGGTATATTGTGCTATTTTGTTGCTTCAGATATCAGTACTGACAGTTCTTTGTCAGTTTTTTGATGCAAGTTTGTAATTAGATTATCTTTTCTAAAACTTACTGCTGATATCAAGTTATTTTAAAGTTCATAGGAGTGTCAATCCAGATCTAGCTCAGGTGGCAAATGGCACCATATGAAGTTCAATACAGTCAAAAGTCGTTAATTCGGACACCCATAATCCGGAATGATCTATAATCCGGACCTCAAAGCTAAAATCTTTCTGCGCATGCGCCGCGTTGACGCATGCTCATAGGCGTTTTACGCGTCCGCGTAAGACATTTACGACTGCGCACATGCGTCTGCGCAAGTGCAGAATACGTTTTCGCGTCGGGCGGCATAAGCTAAAATTATCTAATTATCTATTTCAGTTAATGTTGATGATTTGCGTTGTTTCCTTAATCTTTCGAATTGGATCCGGCTTATTATTTTTTGCAGACTGTAAGAGCAATTTTATAAAGTAAGCTTGAACTTTCGATTATGTCAAAAGAATTTCGATGCTGGAGCTCCCAAAGGATCTAGAAAACGAAAGTATGATTCGATGTCCATCAAACAAAAAACGAATTGCTACAAAAAATGGATAAAGGTATATCCTTTGTTTATCTAACCGTTCCGAAATCTGTTTATCAATTTCACGCGCTGCTCTGCGTGGGGGGGGGGAGGTCGCAACGCGCAATGCATTGGAAGTTGATCTGTCACCACTATCGTTATCTTCAGAGCAGTTTTTTTTATTTTATCGGCTTATAATTCCTTATTAAATGTAGTATTTAATCTCGATGTACTCCATCTTTGATATGATTTAATCAAATTTCCTCGTCATTATAAATATCACGAATACAATCAAATAGTTTTCTGGTTGCAATTTTCTTAATTTCGGCTATGCGTAAGGTAGGGCATGCGCGCGTTGAAAGAAATGTTTAATAAAGTAAAAAATATATAAGCTTTTTTTTTTTTTTTTTTTTTTTTTTTTTTTTTTTTTTTTTTGTAAATTTTGACCCTTTAGATCATAATTGCTCATTATTTTTATAAATTTTCATATTTTAATTTTATAATTTCTCTGCATGCCATCTTGCAGAGATGATCTATAATCCGGAAAAATCGATAATCCGGAATCGCCGAAGTCCCGACGAGTCCGGATTAAAGACTTTTGACTGTATTTAAGTTCTGTGTCAGGAAAGATTATGAGTAAGTATGAATCTGCAAGGTATCAGGGCAGTTCTGCAGCAAGTACTAACTGAGATATCTGACTAGTAAAAAAGTAAGATGTAATTGTTCATCAAGTGAATGCCTTCTTGTGGTCTTATGGTCTTATAAATCAGGGAAGAGTTTTCTCATTTCCGCTTGGTCTGAAATATCTCAGAACAGGATTTGATCATTTATAAAATTATTATCATTATTATTTTTAATGGCTGGGTGCCTTATTTAATAGCCATTAGCCTTGCACCACTACAAGGGCCAGAAGTGGTGGCTGTTTCATTATGGAAGCGTCTAATAGGTGGGCTAATAAATTTCACGAAAGATTAAAATATACTTTCAAATACTTGAAATTAATTGGTTCTTTTTTTTCCCCTCAAGGAAATATGATTATGTAAATGTTTGTTTTAGTAGCAGATATATGCAGATATTATTAAATTTTTTTCTTTTTTGTTCATCTGAGTAGTTGTTTTAAGAATAACTACTTCAAAATATTTCTCAAATAAAATTTGAGATGTATTGAGAATTTATATGAGAAATTTTTTATTTTTTCTGCAAACTCAATTGTTTGTGTAATACCATATCTGATTATTGGATAAATTTTAAGTCATGGTAATTCAAAACTCTTTATTATTCCATCAAATTTAACTTATCAAGAATTCATTGTATTTGTTTCAAAATTTGTCAAAGGGAATAAAGAATGGCTTATGTGATCTTGTAGATAAGATGTAAGCAGTGGGATTACTGATAGTTTACAGGTTATTATTAGAAAATCTGTTTGGCGTTTTTCCAAGTTCAAGCATGCTTCTTTCACTGTGCATCATTTAAGCACTTTTAACATACTTAATACAGTGCAGAATCCAAGATGGCTCATTTGGACTTCTTGGTTCTGGATTTGGGAATTTTCTGAATTTTAGATTATCCATTTCATTCTAGTTAGATGGCATATAGAAATTATGAAATTAAAAATCTGAAATTGTTTATAAAATAATGAAGCACATATAACCATAAAGGAATAAAAATGTAGAAAGAAAAGGGCTTAGTATTTATTTGTTTGCTTTATTAAACATTTCATTCAATGTAAGTTGTTTAAGTTGCTTCATTGTTCGTACTAATACTTTAATATTATAGACTAGCTGAACGCACCCACTTTGCTATTTGAATGTGAATCTAGACTTCTTTCTTATATGGACGAAATTTCTAATTTCATATTGATAACTAATGTAATTTTTTTAAATTTAATGTCAGGAATATAGTGCCAGTCAGTGAAACTGTCATACAGAGATTTCCACATCACCCACGAGGTACTGTGTATTGGGATGTGGCCCCATTATTTAACGTGTTGAGATCCCCAGTAGTACACCACAAAAATTTGCCAACGTAAAACTAAGGCCATTATATATTTATTATGTATATACAGTCAAGAGTCGTTAATTCGGACACCCATAATCCGGACCTCAAAGCTAAAAATTTTCTGCGCATGCGCCGCGTTGACACATGCGCATAGGCGTTTACGCGTGCGCGTAAGACCTTTACGCCTGCGCATATGCGTGTGCGCAAACGCAGAATACGTTTTCGCATGCACGTTTAATGTATAATGGATGGTATAAGCTAAAATTATCTAATTACCTACTTCAGTTCATGTTGATGATTGTGTTGTTAATTAATCTTCGAATTGGATGCGGCTTATTATTTTTTGCAGACTGTAAGAGCAATTTTATAAAAGTAAACTTGAACTTTCAATTATGTCAAATAGAATTTCCGATGCTGGAGCTCCCAAAGAATCTACAAAACGAAAGTATGTTTCAATGTCCATCAAACAAAAAGTGGAATTGCTGCAAAAAATGTATAAAGACATGAAGAAGGTGACAGAGAGGTTAGTGAAAACGAAAAAATTTTGATTGACAAGTTAGTCGGTATTCTCAGCACAGCAATTACGGGACTTGAACAATGGAACTTTGTAACTGAACAAGAAATTATGTCTGTTTATAGAATTAAAGAGAAAGTATTATCACATAAAACGAAACAACTTACATTGAAAGAAATGTTTAATAAAGTAAACAAATAAATATAAAGCTTTTTTTTTTTTTTTTTTTTTATTTTTGTTTGTAAATTTTGATACCTTTTAGATCATAATTGTTCTTTATTTCATAAATTACGGTTTCATATTTTTAATTTTAGAATTTCTGCGTGCCATCTTACGAGATTTAAACTGATGATCTATAATCCGGAAAAATCGATCATCCGGAATCGCGAAGTCCCGACGAGTCCGGATTAACGACTTTTGACTGTATATGTTATTATATATTTAATTATAATTTTCATGAAAATTAATGGTTATTATCTATCTTATCAAATTTTTGAATCAATTGTAATTATTTATCTTGATTTTTTATGTGTGGCAGTTTTTATAAATAACAACATTTTTATTTTTCATCACAATAATTTATTTCTCTTAATAATAACATTTATTTTCATGAAACTTATAAATGTTATTATTAACCTTATAATTTACATGTTGTTTGTATTCATTGAATAGATGCAAGTTATTTACCAATTTAATAATTTTAGAGGAAAATGCATTCACTGACAACAGCGTATTTTATACCTAGTTCTGGCAACAATAGAAGAAAATTCTGACCTTGAATTTGAAAACCAAATGTATGAAAAACTTCTATTGTATAACAAAAATGTATTTTGGACAGGATTTGCGTAAAATCCGTTGTTAGTGCATGTCTACATCGGGGAATGAGTAACTACGCAAAATTTCAAGTCAATCAGATGTATTGTTTTAACATTTGTATATTATGATATTATGTAATGCAAACTAAATTATTGTTTTGTCTTTTTTCCTAGCCTTCATGTTCGTTATGGATTAGTCTATGTCCCAAATGTTATGTTGTTTCATAATGCAAAACCATTTGCCAGATTCAATGAGACTACATTGAATTTAGATCAACTTGTAAAGTTCATTCACAAGCACACAGGTAACATTTTTGATTTTTTTGCTTTTTTGTTCCAGTTAATGTTAATTTTCCCCCTTCCCCCTCAGGGTTATACGAAGACTTGTAGCTGTAATTTTTACTAACAGAATTTGAATTTATTAACTTGGGCCCTGCTAAAAGTAAAATAACTGAATCAACATTAAATTTAGTTTATCCGGGGGTCTTTCACCCCTTTTTTTCACCCACCAGTCCACCAGAGAGGACTTTCGGCTCGCCGCATATTTAAAGTGCCACCATGGCGCACCGGCACTATACATTTACAAACACCCATGTCTTACCCGGTCCCTTTGTTACCATAATAGGCTCACCTAACCACTTTACCATCTAGGCTACTATAGTTACTATACTCTGTGTGATATAAAAAGTTTGGAATCTGTGTATATAATTCAATGTTTGTTTAACAGAAATGATCTTTTAATGTTATCTGTAAATTTTCTGAAGCATGTCATTCATTGTGTTCCCAGATCTATGGTTTCTGTTATCTAAGCTCATTGCCCTCCCTCTCCCTGTTTTAAATTTAAGAAATAATCTATTTTTAAGTTACAAAATCTGCTGCAAGTCATAACAGGTGGTGTATTTTGAAATACATACAGCAGTGCAAACATCAACCATGTCATCAAACATCATCTCTTCACAACAGTTTTGAATATCATCATATATACACATGGATGATTTGAATAAGAATTTAATTTCTTATGCACTACGGTGGCAGAGAAATATGTTTTTCCTTATTCTGTTATTTCTTGAAGCTATGCATACTATATTTGCTTTCACATTTCCTATTATTTAAAAAAAGTAATTAAAATGTGCTAATTTTACCACTTTAAACTCAATAAAGCAAAATTAGATAGCAAACCTAATTTATGATGGTGAGGTTTAGCGTATTAAAAAGTATATCTAAATAGAAGCCTTAATATTATTGTAATATATGTGTGTTTCATAAATGTTAGTTGCACTTATTGCCTTCAGTGCTATTCTTCTTTACTTCATTGTACATTGCTGTTTGCCATTATATATTGTCAAGAAAAGGGGGAAGGAAAAAAAAAGGAAAAGAATTTTAAATCATTTGCTGAAAAAACTAGAAGAGAAAAATATCTAAATAAATACAACAAAGGAAAGTACAGTATATTTTCATTCCTGCAAATCATCTCTAGCAGATTAGACTGGAATGCCAAATCCTTTAGTTTTATGTGAATGAGGGAGAAAAGGACTTTGAAAATTTAAAATGAGATGCTTTATAATTACATTAGTGCATTTTAGTTAATTGCACTTTGTCATGTTATGTTGCACACTATTGCATTATATGTAGAGCTTGCTATTATCTGTGATTTCAGATAACTGCGGTAAGCTTAAGGAGTATATTTACTATCCATGTATATAGGATACTACTATATGAATATTCAAAAAGCAAAATGTCTCGGTGGTTATTGAAAGGTGTTCAATAGTTAATTTAAGAGGTTCAAAATATAGATGTTTCATTATTCAAAATTGCTGATAACATTGCTAGAACTAAAATGGTATGTGATTTATTAAGATATCTTTAAATAGTATGCTAAAGTTTTATATTGATATAGATTTTTACACTGTTTTTCATGTGGTAAAGTTATAAATATTTTACAAAGTTCTCGTTATGTAAATATCTGTATGTATTAATTTTTTTTGTTGAGTTGGCAGTCCAAATAATTATTCTAGAAGTTTCTTTTAGACCATAAAAGTATAAAAAATATACCATCATTAATAAATTCATTCATTGTACTTTTATAGGTTTGCAGCATAATGGCACTCTTAATGTGACGTCAGCTGATATGAATGGCCCTGTGCCTTCTACATTAACTAAAAAAGTAGATTATTTATTAATACTTGCTTGGGCCTTTACATTATGTTGCATAGCTTTTGGATTCATAAAGTCATCATTTTGTCAGCGCATTGTTGATTTTTTGAAAAATACTTGGCAGGAAGCAGCTGCAGCTCAGCATGAACATGAAGACTGATTTTTTGTCATTAATATCGTGATAAAAACTTTTTGATAGTGATGTTAGATTGTTTTAAAAATGACTAGAACTTTCTTGAGTGCAAGACTGATGTAGTCTTTTGTCTTTTCATGAACTGTTGTAATATTTTCTTTTAAGAAGATCTTTCATTTGTTTTTTATCAACAGGAGATGTTTTACTCACCTTAGTTTTAAAAGGGTGAGAGCTGTTTGGACATTTTTGAAAAAATATTTGTTCATACATTAAAAAGTGTCCCACTGAACATTAAGAAATGCTCATGATAAAGAAGTTACAAGTTATCTCCTAATGTACTAAACATTATTATTGTTGTTTATTGTTTTTTTATGTTTTTTATGTTAAAATTAAATGCAAAGCTCATGATTGTGTATATAATGTACAGATTATAAATATGTATATTTACTGATTTATTTTTGCCTGTGATTCTTTGCAAATGATAATACTCACTTTTCTTTCTATGCTTAATGGAATATAGTAAAAAATCAAATATTAATAATAGTTGGTGACTATTATTTTTAATCAATATTCAGTGTTAAATGAAACCACAAATTTAATTTACTTAAATAAAGTTACCTGTACACTTTTGCCTCCATATCCTCAGTTTGTTATACTTAGTTTGCTACAGCAGATTAAAAAGAAGGGATGGAGAAAAATGGCACTTTAAGTTTTAAATGCAACTCAAAGATTAATAGGCTGTGACAAGGTAAATTACTGCAATTTATTCACATCCAGTTCTATCTGCGTATTCATTTAATTGTAATTAAACACAGGGACTCAAAATGCTCATTGTAAAGCTTTACATCTTTACATCTAAGCTCTACATCTAAGCTTTACATCTAAGCTCAGAATACCGATTTCTAAGATTTGTGTAATTCTCAACTTATAGCTCAGCTTAATGGCTATAAATACTTTGGATGGGAATAATGGCTATCAGTGGTCAAATAGGATTTTACTTCATTTTTCTTTTTTTCTGTATTCGCCTCTACACTATTTCTTTCATCCATTAATGCTATTTATTGTAGCTTGCATGCTCAGTAAATTCTTTATTAATATAATAATTAATCTAAAATATAATATTAATGCTGTTAGTGCTTGTAAACTAACAAAGTGCTGTCAGTGTTTGAAAAATAAAAGATTCTTATATGCCATCCTTTGAAATGGTACATTATGATGTATATCGAAAGAACTCCATTTCATTTTTTACCTGTCTTTAGCAGATTAGGCCAAAATGTCAGAATTCCTTTAAGTTCAGCAGAGACTAAGTGTATAATACATTTTCACTAAGTATATAGCACTCCATTATCAATTTAATTAATACTGATAATGTCTTATTCCACATTTTTAAAATTAATTTTAGTAGTAATTACGTATATCTTGTAATAATCTTATTGCATTAATAGTCAGTGATTTTTTTACATACATATTATGTTTAATGCAATATTTGCTATTATTTGCAGTTTTACATAGTTGCAGTAAATCTTGGATTGTATTATATTTGGATATGGAAGCAGTACTGTGTTTATCGGTTGAGAATAACAGTTCTGTCAACTATATGTCATCGATCTTTAGTATTGAAGTTTGTTAAAAGTTTTTTCTTATGATTGTCTTCTGGGGTTCAGAGCAATGTATTGAATCTGAATTTTATGTGTTGCAATACCTGGAAAAGTTTCTACTAATTCGTAAATTCAGAAAAGAGAGATACATGTTTCTTCTTTCAAATACAAAATTTTAAAAATTTATTAAGTTTTTCTGATTCAGATAAATCTAAAGAGAAATAAAGAGTAGTTTGTATTCCAATTTGGATTTTAGATTTAAGTTGTATCTGTAATTCGAAATGTTGTGCAACTCCAAATAGGATTACTAGTAGCTGTTATAAATTTGATTTATAAAGTAACTTTTTATAATAGCTGTTTATTATATGTATATTGTCTACAATTTATTTGCTATGAAATTTTTTATTTGAAACTCTTATTAAATGATTAAATGCAAACTAAGTATTTAGTTGTCAAGATAACTAATGTGTGTAAGTAGATTACTTAATTTATTGAAATGTGCAAATTATCATAATTAAAACTTTGTTAGGAATGAAGTATTTGTAAAATCATTTAATGTTTTGGTATTTAAGTATTATTTATGATAAATATAATTGATATATTTGTTTCTGCATAGATATAATTTGTTTTTAAGTAAAAGTAATTATTGTATTTTGTCTTTTGTATTATTGAAATGGAAAATTCTTTTCTTGGTAATGAAAAATATATGTCGAAACATTTTCCCCTTATGTGTAAAAACTTACTTTTCATATAGTGCATGAAAACTTTTGTAATGCATATTGTTGTAAAAATGTTTCTTTGTGATGAATGTTATTAAACTTAAAATAAATAAATAAAAGAAAATTACATTGCAAGAACTGTATTTTATTTGCATTCCCCCTTTCAATAAAATCTTATCAGTTATATTATTTGAAAAAAGAGTTTACAGTATATTTGAAGTGGCCTTTTTGTGTACATTAGCATTCTGAACTTAATAGAAAAAATGAAATCATTTTGTAATTACTAGAATTCTTTCTTTATTTATTTACATATAAACGTTTAAAAGTTAAATTGCTGAAGTTTTTTTTAAAATAATTTTTATGTAAAATTTAACTGCAATTTCATTTGTTTATTAGATGTAATTTAATTTATATGTATATATATATATATAGATAGATAGATAGATAGATAGATAGATAGATAGATAGCTATATGGTATTCATATATTTATTTTTTTATGTATTAATTTCTGTACCTAATAATCTTACTGTATTTTTCTTTCCAGGTTTTGCAGTGTGAATGCAACAATATTGGAGCTGTTGTCATTTTATATCATTATAATATCAATACATAATATCTAATACATTAAAAATATTGCGCTGTAATTTGTATTAAAGATAATCTTTAAAATTAATTTAGCATTAATTTGGAATTTTTTTTAATGTAAATTCTCTGTTTGGGTAAGGTATGTTGCATTTTAATGATGCCACTTGCTTTCAGTAAAACGTAAAAGTTTACGAGTATTGCAGGAGTAAATTTTTGATAATAATACAGGGTGGTCCAAAATTATTGAGTGCATTTCATGTTTGGGGGGAAAAAAGCATATTGAGGTATGATAAATTAAAACAAACAAATTAAACACAACAAAATTTTAAACATTAAATAACTTCCACATAAGTGGTAGATAGCACGACAGCATTTCACAAGAAAATTAACAAATTGCCTCAGTCTGAAATGATTACCATACAGAAAAATGAGCATTTTGTGGTTCCATGAAAGCAAATCTGTTGTAATCATTCAGAGACACTTTCATTTAGAATACTCAAATCATCATCCTCCAAGTAAGGACTTTGTTAAATTGAACTCTGCACAATTGAAACCATATGACAACCTAAACTTTTTGATCTTGCCATGCATATTTTTAACAAAATTGACGAAGACAACTCTTTCTTAGTAAACATTGTTTTCACTGATGAAGCAACTATGTTATGTTAACCATCGTAATTGTCATATCTCTCATGTAATAAGAGAAAAAGCACACAGTGGTCTGAAATGTTAGGTGCATACTGGCTGTAGAGATGAAACCTTCAGATCATTTTTCTTCATCAGACAGACAGTGACAAGTTTTACATGTGTACATGTTAGAGTGCTATGTTTTTTCTCAATTTGAATGAGCAACAAGTTAACTTTCAACAAGATAGCGCTCCATCACACTGGGGTTCTATAGTTCAAATGGAGCTGGACAAAACATCTCATCACTAGATTGGTCGTGGGAGGCTGATACCATATCCGCCAAAATCCTCTAACATTACACTCCTTGACTTCTTCTTTTAGTGGTATGTTAAGGGACGAGTGTACACAACTCCAGTTCCGGATATCGATGACCTAAAACAACGAATTACTGAAGTCATTAGAGGAATATTTGCTGAAATCCTGCAAAACACATGGCATGAAATTGAATATTGACTGTATATTTTGCGTGCCACAAATGGAGCTCATGTAGAAGTTATTTAATCTTTAAAATTTTTTATGTAAAACCGTTTTAAATTATGTTTCCAAGAAGACAAAGATATACATACCTTGTTTAGTTCTCTTCTCCCCCAAAAAACATGAAATACACTCAGTAATTTTGGGCCACCCTGTACATATATCTAATTTATTTCTAAGGCATATAACTTCAGTGATAAAGTTGTCAGATTTCTTTTAGGATCCTTATTGGAGAGTTTTTCTCCTATTGCAAACCCTTTGAGATACCACATATAAACAGAGGCTGGTGAAGTCAGTTTTTAAGTCATAAGCACAGCATTATTTCAGAAATTCACAGTGCTTGCTCTTTTATGAGGTGAAAAGCGGGATAATGAAGAATTATTCTGAATATTGGGCTAAGGCCTATTCTGCCTGTAAACTAGCTATTCTTCCTAACTATAGATTGAGCTGCATTAATTTTGATGACATAGTTCACGTTTAGTACTGTAATGATTTCTAATCTTTTTCAAATTTACAGTTTGCCACCAATGTTAAATTTGCTGCAATTTTACACTTGTTTTAACTATTTTAAATTTTTAGTAATAGTAACTTGTATTTAACATTAGCAAAGTTTATGTTATTTCAAACTCTATATTATGTATTTATTTGTTATTTATTTTTTAAAGGTCTATACAAGTTTTATAAATATACATTTAGCTATATACATTTTGTGTACCAAGTTCAAATTTGTGAAAGTTTCAACTTATAACTTTCTTTCATATGCTGAACAAATAACTATTGTAACTTAAAAAAAATAATAAATGAAGTAAAATATAAACTACTGCCTTATTTCTAATTTTTAATGGCAAATAATTCTCTTTTTTAATAGCAAAGTTTGCTTAGGCTATTTAGTTAAAATATAATAAAATCTTGAATAATATTAAGTTGGATTCTTAAGGTAAGAAATTTTAATCAAATTTATTTAGTTTTTTTCCCCCTAGAAGTTTCAAATATTGTTTGTCATTAAATTAATAAGTTGCACTTAACACTTCATGTATCGGAAAAAAAATTCCTATGTTATAAATATCTGATATTAAAGATTAAATATTTTTCAGCTTTAAGAAATATGACTTCTTACTTATAATGAAATAGATTTAAATTATTATTTTAATGTCAGATCTCTAAAAAATTCGTAATTTAATTAGGCAAAACTGATTTTTCTTGAAATACAAAATGCTGTTATTAATGTAAATTTATATGCTTAGAAATGAAAACTTGTTTTAACAATATTTCACTCATGTGTTTAGAAAATATTGTATGACGTATCTCAAAATTATTATACTGATTATAATTTTTAATCTCTGAAAGAGGGGAAAAAGGAAAACTTTATTTAATTTTATGAATTGATTTTTACATTCAACCCTCACAATGATTTTCAGTAACATCTATATTTGAAGTGCTTTATAATTTATATTTCAAGATATGAATAGTCAAATTATCAGTCAGTTTTCGTTACAGATGGTATTTTTCATATATGTTGCAGAAATGTGTTCAGCAAAATTGTTATATTAATATTTAGTTAAACAAATGATCAGAATGTCCATTAATTGTAATAAATTTCCAAAATTTAGTTAAAATACTTAACCTTTTGGTAAAGACTCATTTTGATTATTTTGGATTGTGCAAGGAAAAAAAGAAATTAATTATTAAAACAAAAATTTGAATTTTAAAAATGCAGCTTGGTAATGATTATTTGGGCTTAAGTAGCCTTTATTTGGAATTTTTAGGTATAGGGATGTTATGATTGCTATATCCTTGCCCCCCCCAAAAAAAAGGTGTTTTTATTTTTATGTAATAAACAGGTCTGGGGCATTTATCAAGAATTTCTTAAGAATAATTAATGGTAATCCCCTCATTACATTGCAGAATCTTGTGCTTTGGTCTCAAATTTGGTTACTGACAAAAAAATATATTTATAATTTTATTTTCGTAAGGTACAGTTATAGTGTATTTTTAGATTTTTCTGGCTTATTTAATATGTGTTTTAATAAAATATTGAATTTTATGCAAAGGAGCAGCTTTCTTGCTTTTTTCTAAACCTTACTGAAATACCAGAATTGCAGTGTAACTTTCATAAAACAATTAACTTTGCTTTAATTTGAGATTACTAAAATTTATAACAAGGAATGTTTATTTCAGTTTCATTGTTAGTGAATGCCATCTAATTGAATTATTGATTAATTGTCAAAATGGCAGGTTTTGGTTTTTTTTATTATATATTGTTTCATATTTTTACTAAATGTATAATCAAAAAGGCCAATAAGAACAAAAATTTGTAATAATTGTTTCTTTACTTGCAAAATAAATAAAAAATAATAAAAAAAAAAGTTTACCTTCCCAATATATTAAATATGCCCATGTGTAATTTCATTTTTACAGAGATTTTTAGTTACAAAAAGGAACTTCAAAAATTAAAAATAAATTCCTGATTATTATCTGATTCTTGAATGTTGTCTAATGAGCCTGTAAATCTGTGCTTGAATGATTTTTTCTTTAATATTTTTATTGAGTTTTTTTGTGTGTGTGGGGGAGGGAATCATTCAAATTATGCATGATTTTTTTCCTTATTAATTGTTATGAACCCAAGTATTCAGCATATGAGGAAGTAAAACTCTTGGGGTAAGAATGTATTCATAAATCAATGAATTGCATCAAATGAACTTTTGTAAGTAAATTAAAAACATTTAAATTTTTTTTAGGGCCACGATATCCATGTGATGTTTGTGGGAAGGTGTACAGGCAAGTTGGAACTTTGAATCGGCATAAGCGAAACCATTCCAATTTAGTGTATGGCTGCTGGTTGTGTGTCTCAAAATTCAGGCGAAAGGACACTTTAAGAAATCATGTTAGATCAGTCCATGGACAACAACCTGAAGCACTTTTTGAAAATTTTGATAATTTCTTAGTTTCAGATTTATGTAATTCATAAAAAATAACCTGTATTTGTTTTGCCTTTAATTTGCTGAGTGCTTACCATGTGAAACTAGCAGATAATGTTAAATTAGTTATATATATATGTATTAGGAAGTACTTATATATATATATATATATATTTTAACAAACATGTATATATGTAAAAAGCAAATTTAAAGTTAAAAAGTGTGCAGACATATAAAAGGTTTAATTTTCGAACTAATCTACAATATCATTTAAATTCAGATAGCATAAGTAAATCAAGTGCAAAACCAAACCATGAAAATAAATTCACCAATTAAGCAAATTAAAATTAATCTAAAATTTTTTTAAAAAATTGCATAAGTGAATGACTGTTGAGCAGGCAGGAGACAGACTTATCAAGGGGAAGTTGCCTCCAAACCTAACTCTCTCTCTCTATATATATATATTGTTT